TCATCAGCATACCTTCATGAACCCCTCAAAGGCCAAGGACATCACACACAAAAGAGCCACAGTGTCGTTCATTGTTGTCATCAAACGCATGACATGTCACGGAATGATGGAATGATAGGCCGTCTCCTTTGTTTCTCGGTTTTGCTGCAAACCCGAGGGGATCACATTAATTTCAAAGAAGCCCAAAGATAATTTCGGAAAAAAAAAATCCGAGCAAAAAAAAATTCCAAAATTCCGCTGAGCAATGGCAAGGAAATGTGGTAGTTTCAGGCTTAGGCTTGGGAATAAACCCCCAGCCCTGTAACCCAAATCCCCAAACCCCAAAGTTTAGGGTTTAAACCCTAAACCCTAAGCCCGAAACTGTGCGCAGGGCTTCTGGGTTAGGGAGCCTGGATCCATGCTTAGGCACGGCGAGGGCTGCAAGAATCTAGGGTGCCGTGCTATGCACACCATTCTGCGGGCTCCGGAAAGCAAGGTGCGTGTGAAAAGATGGGATTTGAGGGGTGTGATCTAGGGTTTGGAACCCTGAAGCCTGAGTGCCAGGCTAGATGCAATGTTGAGGTGGAGGGTTCAGGGTTGGGTGTAGGGTTTGGGGCCTAGGGTTGTGGGGTTGGGGGTCTAAGGTGATTTAGGCAAAAGCCTCCTGGATTTGCCGCACCGGATTCCTTCTTTGGATGTCAGAAACCTTGCGCTGCTCAACATACCTTTTCATCCGGAACTCACAACACTAGATGACCTTGTAAAGCCAGTGCAAGATCTCCACCACCCACCCTATCCCTACACCCTGGGCCCTGAGCCCCAAACCCTGAACACCAAACCCTCCATCCTTGCCCCAAACCCTGATTTACCACTAGCTTAGCTTGAGCACCGTTGTTTCGGTGGTTGGCCCGTTAGACGGCAGAAGAGAAGATCTTTGAACCTTGAATTCAGACCCTCACAACCCTCAAACCCAAACCCTAAACCACCAAGCCCAGGCTCTGAATTCTAACACCCCAAACCCAGCGCCCTAAACCCTGCGCCACAAACCCTACACCCCAAACCACCAACCCTAGGCCTTGTCCTCTAAACCCCCAAACCCGAAGCCTCTCGCCCCCCTAAGTAAATAGAATATGGGTATATGGGGATGTGAGTATACTATACCCAAAGCCATATTCTGTCTGCTTCACGGGGATTATAGCCCTACGCCCCAAACACTGGATCCCAAGTGACGGTATAAGGAAAAATCGCAATGCCCGTGCGGGCCACTGCGCGCCAGTTCGAAGTGCCCCAGGCGTCAGCCTCAGTCTTTCCCCCGCCACAGAAGCCCAGAAGAAGGGTTCAGCGTTGAGGGCTTAAGCTTCTGGGTTTTACGGTTTCCGCCTTAGGGGTCTAGGGTCTAGGGTGTCGGGTCAGAGTGTAGGGATACATTATGCTATTACAATATGGGAATGCAGGGATATGCGTATAGATGTGTCGAAACATGTATGTGAAAGGTCTATACTCCCCCGACGAAAGGCACGTTTTACCGGGATTCTTTAGAAGGCATGCGAGCAGGGTTTCTGGTGGTTGAACCATGTAGGGTCAAATTCTGGTACTACCTTTCTATACCCAAAAGGAAGTAGAATCTTACTCTACATTGGGGCCTATAGCAGCAATTTTTTTAGGAGATATAGAGATGTGGAGGTCGTAGGGTTTAAGGTCGGCTCCCCCCAAAACGACATGAAATGCCACAAGCGGGCCTACACAGACAAGGAAGGGCTATATCGGTACCATATCGTGGATTTCCATGTTGGAGGAGAGCAAGCCCCCAACAGTACAACCTATGTTAGCTATACAAGTAGGACAATCGCCGCTTGCGATTAAACCCCCCATATTGTCAATGCACCGAATATAGTCCCATTCTACGAATGTGTAGTACTAGCATGTATTAGCGAGGGGTGTATGAGGAGGGGGTTCTGGTACCCCAAAATTTCAAAGGCTTGACAGGTTCCCGGCCCGTAACACTGAACCGATCAGCATGAAGATATGGCTTAAAAACTCCGGGTGTTGAGGCAACATGCACCAAGAATATACGTAGAACTCAACAATTCAACTTTGCAAGACTGCAGGAAAAAAACCTGCGAAATGGTCCTCAATCCTGCAACCTACGAGGGACCCGAAACCCTAAACCTAAACCTGAAACCGCAAGCCCCAAGCTGATAAGTCCTAAGATCTAAACCATCTAGGGTTTAGGGTTTGGGGCACTACTTGAGTCACATTCCTCTACGGGTAACTGCTCCTTTATTGGAACAATAAACAACATCTGATTTCATCTTCCCGTTCAATTCCTTAATATGTTGAGACAATAGAGAGTCAACTCAACAACGATCCATCAGTCGTGGTTACTGGGTTGTTGCTAAGGAATTTGCATACATGAATTTGCCATATATATATAGGGGATATAACAATATTAGGGTTTCCTTCATATAGTCATTTAATTGAAATTTTCTTAACAGCAAACCTGGTTAAGCTACTGATACGAAAACGGTCCGCCTGCCAACTGAGCAGCTTTTTCTTAATGGTTAAAACATTAAAGGTTATATCTTTCTCACAACGTACTAGGCCTGAAAAGAAGATGAGATCCCTAAACCCACATCTTAATACCCCTAATTTCCCCAAACCCTGAACCTTACTATGGTAATCATGTGGGTAGTCTGCAAAAATTAGGGTCCCACTTTGGTACCCCTGGAGATTAGGTGCCGTAATATAATCTATAACCAAAAGGGGCCAGAATTTTGAGAACAACCCATGTGCATGGTGGAGCCAAACGTATCCCCCTTCAAAGTACCACTCGACTCAGCAGCGAGGTGTCGATCCCATGTCTGGAAGATGTCCTCATCTGGCTTTTACTTAATGTTGAGGCTTTAGGGTTTTACCTACCTTGGGTTAGCTGGCAATGAAGGAATGAAAAAGAAAATGGAAACTACTGTTCAGGGTTAAGGAATGTAAAAGTAAATGGAACCTCCTAAAACAGAGTGAGTAGGGTATTTTCACTTTTGTATGTTTTTTTCGTATGTTTTGGTTCCAATGATTCAGGGTGAGCTGAAGAAGAAAAGCAAGAAAGAAACATAGAAAGAAAGACGAAAGGAATCAAGAAGAAAGAAAGGAAGAAAGATAAGTAGAAAAAGAAAAATGGCGAAGGAAGAAAGGAAGGAAGGGGGAAGAAAAAAGACAAAGAAAGAAGGTAGGAAGGAGCAAAAGAAAGAAAGAAATAACGAAGGACGAAAGGAAGGATGGAAGAAAAGAGACAAAGAAAAAGTAGGAACGAAGAACAGAGAGAGAAAGAAAGAAAGAAAGAAAGAGAGCAAGAAAGAAAGACAGAAAGAAAGAGAGAGAGAGAGAGAGAGCAAGAAAGAGAGAAAGAAAGAAAGAACGAAAGAAAGACAGAACGCAAGCAGAAGGAATACTGGGGAGGACGAGGCTACCTGCCCCCTCGGACCATCTCCCCTTAGGGACATCCTACAACATGTGTAACTCCATCTTCAATAACAATGTGTGACTGATGGAATTGCTGAATTGCCTTCAGCCAAGAAGACCATTAAATAAGGGCCAGGCTTTTTCAACTTGCTTAGTTTCTTGATTGGTTGGGTGCTTCTCCTAACCTATACTTCGCACCAGAGAGCGTGACTTAAGGCCCCCCCCAGCGGCATCAGGTCCTTGGGTTCAACTTAACATCTGCCAGGGCGCTTTTCTGCTTTTGCGCCAGGTTCAGCAACCCCTGCTGGGTGGCCTCACGCGAAGCCTTAGATGTTGCGTGGCCTGACAGCGCCATGTCGTTGGCTTCATCAGGCTTCGTCCGAATACTGGAGTTAAGCTACACGAATGCCGAAGCGAGCACCCAGAGCTCGCAGCGTCTGCAGGCCATGAGGCAGGCCCGTGTCTGCGGTGGGCCTCCCCTGCTTATCCCATGGTAGACCTCACAAGACGTCATGTGACAAAGAAGCAAGGATCGCTTCATCACGCAGGGGTCAGTGCCGGCCATTACGCCTGTCACGACCTGGGACGTCTGGGTCTCACTCCGCATTGGAGCCTTCTTGCTGGCCTTCCTCGCTTTCTTATGGCCCGCGGTGGCCTGGCTAGGCAAGTCCTGCCTTGGAGGTTCCTCATAAGTTCTAGTTCTAGCACACGCAATGCTTGCGGCAAAGTGAACCCCACATCTCCCCGGAGGTGTTGTTCTTGCAGGCGCTTGAACCCGCAGGGTCGCGACGCCCAGTTCGCGCAATCTCTGCGCGCGGGCTGCTACTTGATTTCACATGGGCCGCACACTGACGCAAGGAGAGACTGTATTTCGGCGTCAAGAAGATCAGAGGATGCAAGCGGATCTGCAGGGCTGGGCCGTGCAACCTCTGGCCCCGGACAAACTGAGCCACTGGGCGGCGGCTGTCCGTTTGGATGGCTGCGAAGCAGAAGTTGGGTTCCCAGGCTTCTTGCGCGGCGCCATACAAGCAGACTCACTGAGCTCAGGTGCGCCCAACATTCCGCATACAGATGTTCGCATGGCCCGTGTGCGGCAGCCTCAAGACAGGAGCAAAGGCCACGAGCATGTAGGTTTGTGCTGCGGCCCTTCTGAAGGTGTTGCCAGTAGCGCGCACAACCACTAGAACCCGGCGACCTAAAATTTCTTTGGCTAGCTTCCAATCAGAGATCTCGACAGGGGACTGGGGACTGCTTGCCAGGCCGAGCAGATGGATCAGCATCCGCACGCTGAAGCAGCTTGGGAAAACAGCACCAACAACAGAAATAGCAACACGAAGAAGAGAAACAAAAACTGATGAGAACCAGCCCAATGGCACCAGCAATGACAACGACCATGTGACTTACAAGCGAACCAAGGATGGAAACAGGAACCAAGCGCATCATCAATTGCAGCCGAAGGGCGCTGCAGCTGCTTGGACGGGCCTGCAAAACGTGTAGAATGGCGGGCTGAAGGCACCACACTTAACGAGGAACCCTAAAGCCGCAGCCTGACGGGCGGCACTTGCCTACATGAGCCTTTGGCGTGCCGTGCGTGCCCAGGGGGCACGAGAGCCGTCGAGAGTGCGCAGGCCCAACCAAGCCATGGCGCTGCCACACGCGGAGCCAGGCTGCAGGCGATCATAGCCCCCCCGCCAGCGAGCGGAGAACTGAAGTCCTCCCTCGTCCGCTGCTACTTCGCAGAGGTAGTAATCCGCAAACGCCGCAGCAGCCTCATGGCAAGCCCAGTCCTCACGCATGATGCGCAAGATGGACCGCCACACATGTGAAAAGCAGCCGCTGGCAGGGTGCGGGACGCATACATCCAGGACAGGATAAATTTCCCGCGGTCTGCTTTTTGCGCTGCGTCGATGCCCTGCATGGCTTTCAGGAGCTAATGTTGACTTCGGATTAGTAAAGGGGGTCGGATTAGAGCTAAATCGGGCCTGAACGGAAAAATATAAATGTGTACGGATTAGAGCAAAATCTGGGCTGAACAGATTATAACAACATAGGAACGGAATAGTGCACGCTAGCTTCTGAAACTCCAGTGGTTAGGGTCCAGGGTTTAGAGCATAGGGTTTAAGAGTTAAGGATTGATTAGGGTTTGGGTCTAGGGTTTAGGGTTTCAGGTTTACGGATCGTTCAGGGCGTTAGGTTCAGGCTCCAAATTTTATTCACAGCCTCAAGGTTCAGGATTGGCCCGGGCCGCCCAAACAATTTTTGCGAACTTGACTGGGGCCCCCCCGGATTACGCAGATCCGTACTTGTTAGGGGGGGGGAGTTATAATCAGAACCCGCCATTATTTGCGGGTCCCGCCCATTCCGCTGGTGCTGGTCGCGCCCACAACATGGGCCCAGTTGTCCACGGCGCGGGCATGGCTATGCAAACTCTGCCTGGCTTTGCGGATGCCAAGACGCATGTCTGCGTGCCATTGTCGCGCATCGGCTAGGCTGGCATGGAGGCCGACACTGGCGGCAACTTCGTAAACAGCACTCACAAGCGCGCTGTATGAGACCTCGGACTCTTGTGGAGATGGCAAATCCCATCTCAGTGAAGGTTGACCGGTAAGGTCGGTCAGTGCCTTCCTTGCCCTTGCGCAGCCATGGTTTGGAAAGAAACCCTAAGCAAAACAACACATAATCCCCGAAAACTCAGCGAAAAGTTCCATCCATGCAGAGCTGGACATCGTGTGGGTTTCGGAGCCTCTCAAATGTTTCCCTCACTAGAGAAGCGGAAACTAATGGGGCGCAGGTGCTCTTGCCGAGGACCTGAAAGCCAACGGGCTGCAGCTGGTCCACAGGACCTACACGCCCTGATGGCTGCTCTGCGCGGGCCTGCGTGGCAGCTATAAAGGCATGAAAGTTCTGCTCCGTCCACAATTCTGCCCGTCTTCTGCCTTTGACACCCAACCTTGCGTTGCGACGCTGAGCCCATCCAAACAAGAAACGCTTTCTGGGCGGAGTGGCATGGTGGCCTGAGACTGAAGCCTGCCTGGGGTCAGAAAGCCACATCTTACGCATGTGGTAGATCTGCTCTTGCCTAGCGCAGCATGGACTTTGATGCTCTCTGCAGGCGGCTTTTCCAACCAAAACTTTTTCACCTCCTTGAGAACAGCCTTGCCAGACCAGAAAGTCCTTCTCTGCGTCCTTTGGCAACCCAAATCTCCAGTTCCTGCGTTGCCTGCTGAAACACTGCGTAACCCTTCCAGGAGCAGGTCTTGGGCTTGCAGGCCAAACACCACAAGTAAAATTGCCGGCTTTGTACATGGCGTAGGCTGTGAGCACGTCTGGCAGGTTGCCTGCTGAAGATGCCTGCACTGCTGCTGCCAGAATGCCATGGATGGCTTGTGCTGCTGGAAGGGCAAGACTTGTGTACCACTTGCGTTGCGGGACGCCTCAATACGGCAACGACCGCTGCTGGACGCTTCCGGCATTGTGGAACCATTCAATCCACCCCGGCGGAGGCTCGTCGTGGGATTTCTTTTTGGTCACGGTCGTTTTGGAACCATTCAATCCACCCCTGCGGACAATTGGCTTTTAGACTTGCCCCTGATCCTCGAGTCTCAACAGTGTCAAGAGTCACAGGGATCGGCTTGCCTCTGGTCCTCGCGTCTCAAAAATGTGAACGCTCACAGGGATCGGGGGCCATGGTAGCGAAGCGCACAACTGTCGTCTCTTTTGGACTTGCCTCTGGTCCTGGCGTCTCAAAAGGGTCGACAGTCACAGGGATCGATGGGGTCCTTCCCCAACCAAAACACAAATAAACCGAACAAATACGAAACACGAATTGGAAAACAAAAAATGTCTCCCTAACAGGCTATATAGGGACTACTATAAGGATCCATTCCTTCATGCCTAGCTAAACAAAAATCAGGTTATTGAAGTAGGAGTCTGTAGGGACTCTACTAGTATATGGGGCACATAAGAGAAGCATAAGGGTCGCCACTAAGGATGTGAGACTTTTTGACGAAGTGCTATCTCCGCTGGGCTGAGCGGGCCCAGGGTTCGTAGGGTGTACAACTCACAGGGTTTGGGTGTTTTTCGGGTGAATAGATTTTTTTTGTTTTTTGGGTTTAGGGTAAGGGGGTGCTACGGCTTCAGGCGTCTAACATTTGGGACTTCGGGGGGTTTTGGATTTAGGGACTATTACCTCAGCCCTAAACCCTCAATGGTAGCTTCCAGCTAACTTTCCCTAACGTTGTCCATGTGATTCTCCATTGCTGATGTTGTAACATCCCTATATACTCACTGTATATCCTTAAAAACCCTACATGCAGAAACCCATATCACCCGTGTATAAGCCCTAAACCCTAGACCCTTAATCTAATTCTAAAGTCAGGGTTCAGGCTTCTCTAACTTTTAGCGGCAAATCGCCAACGTAAAATGACATGGAAACAAGGTTTATATACCGGTTTAGGGCTTAGGGTTTAGGGCTATATGGGCCTTATCAAGAATGATGTGCGTAATGCAGGAGCGTATACTTACCAATCTCTTGTGAAGTCTATCTGCGGCAGCGTATACGTTAACTTTAACTATACAAGCAACCTAGGACCATAACATTGGCAAGTATTTAGGCCCCTGAACCCTAAACCTAACCCCTACATTATAGGCAAGGACATGAGTGAGCATGTGGGGTTGCGGCTATCGAACTGGTTTGGGGCTCTGCGGTGTAAGGTTTAGGGTTTCGTTTGAGCGAGAAACTTACAACCACAAGCGATACGCATCATGGATACAACCGTCATAGAACCCCTGCACAAATATGATCGTCGACTTCAAACTCCTCAGACACTCCTAGATAAACCCAGGGTCCATGTCACTCTGATTTTTAGAGTCAATGTTATTCTCCACTATCGGGGTAACATTTCCTAAAGCCTGAACCCTACATGGTAGTTGCCTTTCTTTTCCTTTGTCGCTATACTTCCCGGTGGTTTGTAGGGAAGAAGGGAAAACAATCCCTATATAACACCAAATAACATATTGCCTTACTCCCTACTAACCCTTAATCCTAAACCCTAATCCCCCAGACCCTAAACCCCAAAGAGTAGTTTCCATTTTCTTTTCCAGATTCCCAATATAAGCCAAAATTACCCTATATTACCTTAATAAAAACCCCTGTAACTCTAATATGACCCCAATGTAAACCTAATATATCCCTATAACCCTAATACGGCCCCAATATTACCCAATATTACCCAACATCGACTCTCCCTGCCTCTCCCGTCTGATTTTGATTCACGTAGGATCCCGGATCATTTAAAACCAGCCAGCCAGCTGTAATCGAGTCACCTCGGCCACGGTCTACGTAAACTCCTCATCCCCCTTGGTAATGCTAGGGGTTTTTGGTGAAGGGAGTCGGGATTCGGGTTTAGGGTTTAAGGATTTTAGTTCAGGGGTTTAGGGTCTACACTCCTGGGTTTAGGGTCTACACTCCTACTATCTCCCGTAATAAGCCTTATAATAATCCCCTATAGAATCCCCTATAAAACTCCCTTTAAGGATTTTCGACTATGACTCACATGCAACTTGTTACCTAGGTTCATGGGGAAAAAACGACTTTAAAGGATTGCACTGGATACCCTTCAAACTTCTTTTGACTTGTACTGTTGTTGATGCAGAAAGAATTGCACCACTGGAGCTTCCGTGGATCCCACATGTTGAAATATTGGTGATACCAGTAGTCCTGCATGACCTTAGCACTTTTTTTTTTCTGAAATCCACCGTGACTTACCGGGTTTAGACAAAAGCTCATATGGCGCAGGGCTTGCTTCCATCCATTGCAGAAGGGTTGTAGGGTACATGGAACCTGATCGCTCCACGGTATGGCTCCTTTCTGGGAATCTGTTTTCAGGATTGAGTGCCCAAAGCCATGAGCTCTGAACCTTTCAGCCCTCTTATCTTTTAGGACGTGAAAAGTAAAGTTGTAAGGAAACTCCCCCGGCTGACATGTTCGGGATTGAGATGCAGGGTTAAGGGCTCTCTGGGCTCAGGGCCTGTGAGCTCAGTGGTCTAGATTTTCTGTTGAAGGGAGATTATTACCCTAAACCTTATAAACCTTATAAACATTGGGAAGCCGACCAATTTTGTGACAATTCGCCGCTTCAGCAGCCAGCGCATAATGAAATTTGTCGGGAAAGGCAGGGGGAGAGAACAGGCCTACACAAGTGCGGAGAACACATGTAAGGACCCGTTTTACTGCAGGACGTCAATGTGTAAACAACTCAAGAATTGAAAGGCAGATCCGTTCAGGGCTCGTAAACTGCTAAACGCGAAGCTCTGAAGGCAAAAGCCTAATTGCCTGAACTTACGTAAGCTTCTGCCCCTAATAACTCCCCAAACAATTCACATAGTAATATAATACCTCTACATAATTGGGGGAATACGTATCATGCGGGTTGGGTGGGCGGAGGGGAGTATTCCCAGGAATCCAAATATTTTCAAGCGTGGTCGGGTCTGATGCCCACAAAACAACATCCCTGGTCTGCAATGTGAAGGAGTTGCATCCCCCAAACCCTAAATCCTAAACCCTAAGCCCTGAATTCTAAACCCTAAGCCCTAAAAGGACCTAAGCCCTAAACCCAGAATCCTAAACCCTGGATCCTGAACCCTAAACCATAAACTCTCAGAGACACAAAGATACCAAGGTTGGGCCTATGGGCTATATACTTTTTTCTATGCCTACTGCGCGGTGTGTATATATGTACCCAAGGTATTGATAGCCCGCATGCGTGACGCCAGAATCCGTGAGACATACATACAGCCCACTTTTCAAAAGCCACTAGTCTTTGCAGAGCTTTTTGGGCGGTTCTATGATTAATTGGCTGGGGGGGTGGGGCAAGAAGTCCAGGAAGTCGACTAGGCTTTCCAAGCTGCACCTTGCCCGAAACCCTAAGCCCTAAGCCCCATAGGCCTAGACCCTTAGCCCTAAAGCCCAAAACTCTTGATCCTTAACCCCAAATCCCAAGCTTTAAGCTGTAAACCCTAAACCCAAAGCTTGGGTCCTTAACCCCACACCCGGAGCCCTAACCCTCAACCCTAACCCCTGAGAGCCTATGACCTTAAGACCCTGCATTGTCAGCACCTACGAACTCGACGCGAAGCTCGTCATCTTGTCCTCCGTGCCCGACAACGAGCTTAAGCGGTTTAGGATTTAGGGTTAGGGCCTAGGGTTTAAGATTTAGGGTGTGAGGGTTTCGTTTCGAGCTTTACGGCTTATAGCCACATGGTTTGGAGCCTAGGTTTTTTGTTTGGGTGGAGGGTTGAAGGTTTAAGGCTTAAGGTTTCTGGTTTGGGGTTTAGGGCTTTTGATGGGGAGCTCAGGAAAGGAATTGTGGGGAAGGCGAGGGGATGTAGGTCTATATTTGTACATATATATAAATGTAGAAGATATACACCCTTATTTAGGCATCATTCAGTCTATGTTTTGGGCAATAAAACTCTTTACGCATTACACCTACATCCAACCCACATTCTTACAACCCCCTAGTTCCGCATGAGCTTAGAAAATACACTGGAGCGCACACAGTGTCGTAACGGATTCGTGTCTATGATATGCTCGAAGACAACCAGTTCAACAACTTTTTAGGATTTAGGGGTTAAGGTTAAAGTATAAGGTTCAAAGTTTCGGCAGTAGCCTTTGGAAACTAGGGCTGTGTGTCAGGTTGCACACACTTTCCGGAACGTGAAGCCCAAATCTCTTATACCAAACCTAACGCCTCACATGAAGCTGAAACCCAGATCTCTAATTAAAAGCTAAAAACTCAATCTTGGAATGAAACCTGCAACTAAAAAACATACCAAAGCCCTACATGAACCTTATAAGCCCAAATCCCTAAACCTGGGCAAAGGGCTTTGCGGCTCGAACATTTGCGTTCCAGCATCCACCAGCAAGGCCTCCCAACTTGACTTAGGCAATGGCCGATGGTGTAGGATTTATGGTTCAGGGCGCGGGACTTCCTTCCATCCTCAATCCTGAAACCCCAACTCCGAACTGTCTGGAGCTTCCCCACTCCAGCCGTTTCGGAAACGGATGCAGAAGTCATGAGCCCCAACAGTTAACTGAAGGGCTCCGAAGGCAGGTGTGCCATTTCGGACTGCAGGGGTATGCGGGAATTACACAGGGATTTTTTGGGGTCCTCCTTGCATAGGGGTTCCTGAGATACTCCCGAGAGTTTGTTGGACTAATATGGCAAGCCCCGATCGGAACCCCGAGTCCCTATACCCAAAGCGGAATGTTTCAGCAGCTCCCCGCTTTGAAGTATAAAGTGGATGGTACGCGAAATCCCTGTAGAGCTACACCATCCTTTTTGACACGAAACCCTGTATATGATGCTGTAGGGCTTCAATTTCTGGACCCAATTTGGACACCCAGCGCATACGCTCACCAGGATTCCTAAAGAATCCCGTATATGCTCACGAAAGACCAAGAATAAAATCTTATACACAAGGGTACAGCATCAGTTGGAGTTTAATTGTCCATTCTTGTCCATTTTTGATTTTCCAATGTTGGGGTATATATATTCCTAAGCACTAAACTCTAGTTCCTAAACCCTAAACCATCAAAAGCAACTATACCCTCGAACCATACGCGCTAACGTAAGTTCATTTGCAGACTCTGGAATTTGGAAGTGGGAGAGGTTGCCTGCAGCACGGTCTTCCCGTAGACAGCTTCAGTGTTGCGGCCGCACCAAATGGTATAACGCTGGCTCCTGGTTTTGCCGCTTGCAATAGGTTTAAGTTTGAGGGAGTTCTTCTTGGCGCTTGTCACACATACATTTCCGCCTTTTCGGTTCGTCCCTAAACCCTGAGCCCTAAACCCTATAATCCAGAGGTCCTAAATCCTAAACTATCTTAGGCCCCAGGTCTCTCGAAGCTTAACCAATCCTTCTGGCCATCAGAACGGCCGCTTTTGGCCACTAGAACCAGGAGTGAAGGAAAGCCGCGCTTCTTTCACCCCGTTTTTGGCCACCGGAAGCAGGGGTGAAAGAAGGCCAGGCTTCTTTCACCCTGCGTTTGGACCGGAAGGGTGGAAAGAAGGCTGGGCTTCTTTTAGCTGGGAAGCCCGGGGGCTCGGGCCGCACTTGGGGCCAGGGCCCTCAGAGGCTTGGGGCCTGGAGTTTGGGTGAGTGCCTGGTTTGGGGCACCAAACACACAAAAACCTGACATGTTGGAGGGAGATTGGCGAATGGGTCGGCTGCCGTGGGTGGGGCCTGGACTAACACGGCAGGGTAACGCCCCCTACCCCCCGCTCTCCGTTTTTTCCTTCTCCGTCTGCTGAAAGCATCCAACACGCCCCCGAAGGTCGCCGGATGTATAGAGGCAAGACAGACTAGCCAAGGGTAGCAGGCATACCGAGACCCAAACTACCATGTATTCCGGTTCGGGTGCCCATAATGGGTGCCGTACCTGGGCCCCGAAAAGGAGACACAACAATGGCCCGACCCATAAACAGAGCCACGAAAATCTGTTATTCTTTAACTTTCAAACCCTAAACCCCAAGCCCTAAGCGTATACACCAAGCGGAAGAGCAGTTGGGGCGGGGGGACTGCCTCTCCTACCCTCCCTATGCCACCACAAAGCCAATGTCTCAAAGTACAACGTCCTGTGGCTGCGAGTTCTTGCCCGACATCCTTGAGGCGTCACTTGAGGTGCTGGCAAAGATTCTCCGCCGAGCCGGGCTCAGCGTCCTCCAACAGATTGGACAACTCGCCTTCCGTGATGTCAGAAAGCTTTGTTTTGCGCTCTGCTTGGGCGGCCTTTGTGTGTTTGCGCAATGAACTCATGCCACGACTGCTTGGGGCACTGAAATGTATCTTTTGATTCCGGGCCAACTGGATGAAATCAACCATCCCCTGGCCTGATTGCAATCGACGAGGATTGTTAACGTACTTCGGAAACCTGCGACACAAGGCCTCAGCATCTTGCTGTTCCGGGCGGTCACTCAACTCTCCAAGACCTGTTTTGCGCAGCTCTTTCGATGGGTCGGTCTGCGCCACAACATCCTCTATGCGAAAATTGTCGCCGAAGAAAATGGAAGTCAGCAGCGATCTTTCCAAGTCGATCTTGCTAACCCCAGCCGAGAGCTCAAACCTGCGAGAAGCCACCCGGATGCAGAGATGTTCAGGTATGCAGGGAGTTTAGACCCTGAACCCTAAACCCTATCTAAACACCCTTTCTCTTAAAGAGCTTAGACTTTAGCTCATGTGGGATTGAAGGCTTCCCTAAATCCCTGTTGAGGATGCCGTTGGCTTAGGACTGGGGCTTGGCTAAGAGTTAAGGGGTAAGGGGTTTAGGGGTTTACTTAGGGGTTTTGGGTTTACTTGGGGTTAAGGGTTTAGGGTGTACTTAAGGTTTAGGGTTTAGGGTTTACTTGGGGTTTAGGGTTTAGGGTTTACTTAAGGTTTAGGGTTTAGGGTGTACTTGGGGTTTAGGGTTTAGGGTTTACTTGGGGTTTAGGGTTTAGGGTTCACTTGGGATGTATAGGGTTTGGGGTTGAGGCTTCCATTATGAGATGCTCCTAGCATCCGTTCATACTCGCTCAGGTAAGGGTAGGTGTGGCGGGGGATGATAAGCGCTAGGATGTCTTCTCGGAGTCGTGCAATACAGAAAAACCGACCAATCATCGTCCCACCCCCCAACATGCCCATGTTGGGGGGCGGGATTTTGGCAATTCTTTGCGGCCCATTTGAGCGGAAAGCATCCCCCCCCCCCGCCACACACACAGACACCAAAGCTCAGGTAGATCCCCACTAAGAGCCTGACAAAGGACCCTAAACCCTGCAGCCTTAACCTAAAAGCTACACCTAAAACAAAGCCTAAACCCAGAGGACCCTCTAAGAACCCTGGGTTGTGTTGAACAATCCCCCTTTGCAGCAGTGCGAGCTGAGCTTCGGCGACAGATTTGTAGCAATCGTGAGATCTCCCGTGCGGTGTGGCAAGACAAACCTCACAGACGTGCCGCGTTTAGGGAGAGTTTAGGAAGCAAACTTGAGGATTTGGGGGCTAGGGTCACGGTTTGGCTTAGTATGCGGGTGCGGGGGTTGTAGGGGTCGCACAAAAAATAATGAGGAACTCAAACTTATAAGCGCAACCCACACAACCTTATATAACCCCAACCTTTATAAGCGCAACCCACACAACCTTGTATAACCCCAACATACTTTAGTTGTTTCCTATAAGCGCCACCCACACAACCTTACAGAACCCCGAAATACTATAGTTGTTTCCATTTTATTTTGCATTATCCCCCAATATATATATATATATAGAGTTCTCAACCCATAGCCACAGTGATAGTCGCATAGTCTGGAAAGTTGCAGCAAAACAAGCGAGTTCCAAACGCGAAAGAACCCAAGGGTCCAAGGACCCAAGCAATAGGGCTTTAGGGCCCAAATATTCTGAATATTATAGTATTTGGGCCCCTTAAACCCTATTATTGGGGTCCTATATACCCCTATATAGTCCCCATATATCCCCATATATCCCCCCTATAGCCCCTTTAAAGGGACCCTTAGATTTGGGTCCTTGGACCCTTAGGGGAACCCCTAGACCATCAGGAATCGACGGAGGATGTTTCAAGGTGGGGTCACATGGTATCTATTTCACGTGGCTGGTACGGATTTAGGGAATAGGATTAGGGTTTAGGGTTTTGGGTGTAGGCTTTAGGGTTGAGGGCTCAGGGGCGAGGGCTGGGGGTCTGGGCTTGGCAGTTGGGATCCATCTGGACTCTCATATGTAGTTCCTTTTTGGGTTTGGTATGGTTTTTTGGGTTTGGACTCTTGTTATGACTACCCAAAACGTACTGCATTGGAGGGTCTAGCTAGGGCTTAGGTTTAATCGTTTTAAGATTTGGGCTTTTAACCCTGAACCCTAAGTATGACGGCAAGCTGCTCCATGCCGTTGATGCGGCACGTATGGTACATCGTCACCAGGTATGGCTCCAGCTTGGCAACCAGCCTTTAGAGACACGGAGTTTAGGCTTTAGGTAATACTTCATGGCTGAGGGTCTCGAGCTTAGAGCTTGAGGCTTTTTAGTGTGAAGTTCAGGGGTTCAGTTTGTGGCTTAGGGTTCCGGAAGGAAGCTTTTTGTTTAGTGGCGCAAGCCTCCTTATGTCTGGCAGGGTTTGTGGCCTAGGTAAGAATGTAATATTGCGAAACACTGCACAATAGTAGCTATGAGACACTGCAGGACATTACCTGGCTGAAACCTGTGTATGTCCTTGCCTAAACCCCGAACCCTAAACCCTAATCCCTAAACCCTAAACTCTAGGGCGCAACCTCCATGACGGCTTCCAACAGTAAATTAAAGATCCGAGTAAATACTGTAGTCCCGTTAGATCTAGAATAAGATGAATATGTGTAATAATTTCTTTGGGTTTAAGGTTACCTATAGGTTACCTATACTAAAGATGCAAAATAATTCCTAAAAAGACTACAGAATGGGGGTCGTTAGCTATGAGAAAGACAATAGTATGGGGTGTATTTCAGTCCTGAAATTGGGAAATTCCCATATGCAAGTTTCCCAACATTCGGGGTACCTATAGGAGTCCCCTAACTTAGGGAAACAACCATACGCCTTGCCCTAACGGCCCGATTCAGAGATGACGTAGTACCAGCCTCAATGCAGCCTCATATTTATCAGCGCATGGAGGACATCCAAGACGCTAAACCTACTGTACAAGAATAAACCTACGGATGTATCTCACATACTCTGGAGGGTGCCCACCTCATCTATGCCACATCCGTATTTGAAATACACTCCCCCGCAGAAACATGAAACCTGAAAATGGGGCTCTTCTCGATTTCTGGCCCGTCTTTAACGGTCCATTTGGATTCCATATTAGGGTGGGGGAGGGCATGTCATGCTACCGCGGGGGAGGGCTCTGACTCATCAGGCTCTCCATATGGGCACAAGCCCCAAGAGAATGGGGCAGGGGCTTCATCCAACCTTTCAGGCTTAGGGCCTAGGTTTAGGCTTGTTTGCTTAGCGGCCTGATTCCAGTCGCCTGGAATAGGTTTAGGGTGGAGGGTTCAGGGTTTAGGATTTAGGGTTTAGGATGGTTTCGGGGAAACCCTACACCCTGGCCCTGCGGCTCTAGACACTTCGGGCATGCGCCACGTTCTGCATCCCAATCTCCCCCTACAGTAATACTTGGAGGGTCGCTGGGGTTAGTAACCACTTAGGTCGGATAATACCAGTTAGGTTGCTACGGCTAATCAGTTGCAGCAGTTATGGCTAAATGCCATAATTTGACATAATTTGACTTATCGGGTATCTGATTAGTTGGCTTAGTTAAGTCTCTCTAGCCCAGTTATGTAACTCAGTTAGGGTACTTATTGATAAGTGGACTAAACCAGCTAAGTCCACTTACCTATTTACTTATTAGTATTTATGTAAGTCCGCTAAGTGGCTTATGGGGTCTAAAAAAAATGGAAAAATTAGCCACTCATGCCTTTGCTGGCGCGGCCTTGCCGAGGGCAGCCGTGGCTGCCTGTGGCAGGAAATTTTCAGATTTCATGAATGGGAAGGATCAGCTTGAATGAGTTTCAATTGTTCCGGGAATCTTCTACATGTTGGGAACTGAAACTAAATTGCCATGGGCATCATGGGTCACTGTGCTTCACGGGGCCTTGGGCATATGGGATGTATTGGTTTATATAAGGGTTTGTAATTTAGGCACCCTCCCGAAGTCAACAAGACGATTGTCCAATGTCATGGCCGCCCTTTCGGGAAAGGTTCTTATAAGGGTATAAAGGTACAGTCCAAGGCTGATATAAGGTGTGTAGGGTTTTGGGGCTTATATAGGGTTTAGGGCATTCTGGGCTTAAGGGTTTAGGGTTAAAGGGATCGTCAAACCGATAACCGCATCTAGCCATATAAACACCAAACCATATACTAACCCTATTTAAGCCGAGTGGAAGTTTGGGCGCAGATATCTCACGCAACATTGGATACTACAATACCTGTTGACCGGCATAATGCACAAGATGTGTGCCCTCCCTATCAGGGTTTACACTTGGAGGGTCAGAGGGACTTAAATGAAGTTAATGATATGTAAACATGGGCATAATGGGTAGATATATACACGGTCTAAATTCACAAGTCCCCCTATAACCCTACAAGGAGTTAAACCCTATATCAACCCTTGCAATTGAGTGCATTTCATTTCGTTGGCGCTGCGTACAGCAAAATCCTGCGGAGCAACCGTGATGAACGCCTCATCCAGTCGAACAATGCAGGGCCCCAGGATGGAAGTTGTC